GAGACTGTCCGAGCCGGGGCTCGAACCGGCAACCTTCCGATTACAAGGCGAACTCCCAACTCTTGAACCACGATCGCCCTGACTAGTCTGGCAAAAGGCTTTTAAATAAAGTTACTTTGTGACTGAACACTGTCTTTGTTAAAGGTAACATCTCTACTTTTTTTTCCTTCAATGTTTGTCTAGTCTAAATCCAGCTCCATCAAGGCCAGGTCAGCAGGGGTCAATGCACAATCATGTGTTTATCCAATTGAGCACTATTGTTTATTCTGCTCTCAGCACAAAGCCTGTATTTTGCTGCTGCCTTTGCTCACCGAGCCCATAAAACCCTTCGTCCACAGGTGTGCAGGCGACATGTCTCTATATCCCATCTCATCCCGTGTCACCTTCGACATAGAGAGATAAGATCAAGTGCATGTTATTCTTCTTCTGTCATCATACACGGCCTGTTGCCGAGAATACCGAACAATAGCGAGGGGTATTTCTAAGAATTTCACCGAGTTGTTAAATGTACTGAAGTGACAGTTTTCGGGTCCACTTACAAACTGAGTAGTGCTTTTCTTTGTGACAGTGTTCATACATTTGCAGTAGGCTGTTCTCCTATATCTGTCACGAGGTGGAATTAAACATGGAATCAACAGAGCATTTATCTCAGCTGACTCCCAATCCGCCTTCCTGTTGTATATTTTCCTTTAGTTTCAGTCTTAATAGTCTCTCATCAGTCAGGCTCACTGGAAGTCTTCCTAGAAATATGTCAAGGGCAGACTTTTTTTGCTTTTAAATGGGAGGGGTGCACAGTTCATTTACACAGAAATTCAATGCTATTGGTGAGTGAACTTTTCAAGTTCTTGCGATGCTTTTGCGTTGCTGTTTTTGTTGCATTTCGCATGCAGGCGCTTGGTATTTTCACAGTGGGCCCAAGACTGTCTGCCTGCTATGGATAGCAGTAGTGGGTATTAGGGTGGAGAACACATTCCTTACTAGGGCTGGAACACCTGATCGTTTTCAGCCATTTGTCAGTTGATTGTTTAGTCTTTGACTTCTCTAATGAATGTCAGAAATACCCGTAACCCTATAAAACTACCAGTGTTGGGGAGTAACGGAATACATGTACCGCCGTTACGTATTTAAAATACAAAATATGAGTAACTGTATTCCGTTACAGTTACCGTTTAAA